AATTAAAATTAAAATCTGATCAAAGCAAGTGCAGCAACCATGTAACACATTCATCAACCAAGACAAGACAGAAAATAAAGTTAATGGGCAAAACGTTATTCTTGGTTTATCATTTCATCTGCTAGGTTAACTAACTCATATAGGCCCTTCAATTATTTGGCCTGACTTCTTGATATTAAACCATGGTACAGAATTTCTCTTGACTATGAAATTGTCACTGTCTGCTCTATAACGAAATACTCGTTGCACACGTTGTGGTAAAACCACCTTATTCCGACATTTCCCATATCCTAACCACACATAGATGCCAAATGAATGAAATTACATCACATCCAAAGCATCTTAAATGTTACACTCCTGAAGCCTCAGAACTCACCCAATCCTGTTTCTATTCATCTATAGCTAGCTAGTGTAGACAATTTCCAGCGATCTGTGCTAATTTAATCTTAAAACAAGCTTAAACCCAGTTGTTATTTACATAACTCTAGAAAGAGCCAAGTCACCTCATACATAATAATGACAAGCAGATACAATATATGTTGAATCAATTTATTTATTTATTTACACACGCACACATTAAAGAGATTGAAAGAGGGATACAAACACACACACGTGTATATATGTAGAGAGAGGAGGAGGAGGAGGAACCCCATATGACCAAAACAAGGGGTAACATACCTCAGGAGCCATCCAATAAGGCGTTCCAACAACAGAATGTGTATTAACATCTGCCTCAGTTAGTTTTGTCGCAACTCCGAAGTCTGCAAGTTTCACAAGACCCTGAAAGATTAAGTTAGATAAAGGAACTATCTTTTCAACAGGCTTCAAATTCATTATGAAAAAAACAATGACGAAAAAGACATGGCAGTGCATACAGTAGCACAGACAAGTCTAAAAAACTTAACAAACGAAGAATGGGGTCATTGAAACAAGACTAAAGGTCCATTATATTGACATCAAACCCAAATAAGGATTCCACGTATATCTGTTAAAAAATAATAAAAACCATTTTGTTCACTACACAAATAAGGATTCAACATATAATGTCAACACACAATATAAAAGAGAGAGAGAGAGAGAGAGAGAGAGCAGGTATTCTGGATAAACTAACATACACAAAGTGAAATAATAAACAGTCTAAAAGATAAGTATACCTCTTTTGTCGTCAGAATATTTGCCCCCTTGATGTCTCGATGAATTACACCTTGTTCGTGTAGATATACCAGACCTTCCAATACCTGATTACATAATTCTGCCAAATATTTCAAACATAAACATATGAACAGAACCACTTATGAGGTATGAGAGCAATTCTGAAACCTGGGATATATAGACAGCCACCAAGGACTCTGGAAAAGGGCCAAACTTGTTTGGTTTAATAATGTTTGCAAGCGAACCATTCTCCACATACCTTCAAAGAAAAAAAAAAATTATTACAATAAATACCCCCACTTTTCAATACACTTGCAAGGAAATTGATGAAGTACAGATGTGGTGACGAAGTTAGAATCTTGACTTACTCAAGTATAATGTGAAGATGACTTTTGGTCTTCAACGATCCGAGATATTTCACGATATTCTTATGATTCAAGTTCTGCAAGAGAAAGGCTACATATCAATTATAGTACAAAAGGAACCACCTCATCGGAATTTAAAGAAAATACCAACAGAAATATTGAAAGCATAAACCACATTTTGACACAATCACTACAGCCTCATATGTGTGTGAGAAAGTAGAACATCAAAATATTTGGTCAGCAATTTGAGCATGTTTGGGAACACCTTCAAAATGAAAGTGCACTCATAAGATGGACTGGCTAATATGGACTTTCAACAAGTGGTTGTGTCTCAAAGTATTTGGTATGCTTACATTTTAGTTCCCATTTTGTAGAACTGATAAACAAGAAATCAACAAGTCACAGATTCACATTCCTCCTAAATATTCTAGTCCATTTAAGAACACGGACTGACTACCAAGCATACAACTTGTCTTCTCTTATACACCTACAAGTTAATTTAAGAGGGGTTTCCAGAAACCAGCAGTCAACTTTCGCATCTACGAACCCTGAAGAATCCTGAGTCCATATATAATGTAATGAAGAGAATAAAACAAGTCAGCTACAGGCACGCCGACAANNNNTTTTTTTTTTTTTTTTTTTTTACGGAGAAGTTTTTGTATCATGAATTTACAGGATATTAGGTAATGCATTACTAATACCTCATGGTTCATTTACTCCATAGAATGAGCATATTAAACATAATGTTTACCTTTAGCAAATCGATCTCTTGCTGTCAGATCACATCCGCAGAAAATGGACAAAGTTATGCAAAATGAAAGAAAAGCAACCAGAGTGAGTCCAAATGCCCAAAAGAAAATTAACATTATACATAAATATACAGTAACAGCAACAGTTGCTGCGATGAGAGCCGACAGTAAATGAAAGAGAAGAAGAAAAGATTAGACCATAATAATGTTAAGATCCTCCTGAGCAATGTTCTCGAGAGAGACTTGCTTGATTGCAACAAAATCTCCATTCTCCAAGTCCAAACCCTTGTACACTCTTCCATAAGCTCCTTTCCCAATTTCATCTCCAAGCATCTGCAATGAACAAATACATAGAATACAAATTGCATTACCATTGATTTAATGTTAAAAACAAGTCTGGAGAAAAAAAATAGCAAAGCCTACGTATTTGTTGTCAAGGGTCTTGGATTTGTGGAAAGCAGAAGACGTCATCTGCCGAGCCATCTCCCCGCGTAACGAAGAAGGTAATGAAACCCTAATTCTCGAATAATTCTTAATCCATTTAGGATTGGAACGCAGTATCGCATACGCACATCAAATATAAGAGGTGAGAGGTTTGGGAGTTGAAGGGGATACTATAGAATTAGACACAGAAAATAGAAATGTTTCACGAATTTAACCGCCGTTGAAAGTCCCGGGAGTTGGAGCTTTGGCACTGGTCGGAAATTTAACGTGGAAATTGTGTCACCTAACCCATTGTATGTGACAATTTGTTTAAATGACCTTTACCCAAAACATAAAAATAAACTTTATGAAAAGTAACATTACAAATACAATTACTATTATACCCTCACTTCTATCTTCTTCCAATTTAAATAAACAAAAGAAAAAAAAAATCGTCTGACCTCTCATTATTCTGCTCCTCTCTCGCGACCCTCTCTCTCTCTCCCTCTCTCTCTCTCTCGACATCTCTCTCGCGACCTCCTCTCTTCTTTCGACCTCCTCTCTCTTTCTGCTTCTCGCTCTCGCGCCCAATACCTATGGAGCTTTCTCTCGTCAATTTCGGTACGGATTTTTTCAGTTTTTTGTCTATTTATTCTTTTATTTAATTTCCTTGTTTTTGAGTCTTTGATATTCTTGGAGCAAGATTTGATTGTGTTATGTGAATTCATCTAATTTTGCTAGTTTTGATGGAATTGAAGATGATAATTGGTGCATTCCATGTGTTTGATGAAATGCTTGTAGGATTGATTTAATGAACTAAAAATAGTATTTGGTGCACTCTATGTGTTTGATGAAATGTTGGATATGCTACTTGTATACTTGGAATCAATCAATCTATCTTCGTTATATATTACACTAGAGCGAATGCGCACTTGTTATAGTATCACAATACTTATAACAAAACTCATTTTAAGAGATAACGATACTTGTTTCTTTTTATAAATTGATAAAATTCATTAAAAATTACTTAAATTATAACTATAACAAGTAGAATATCGTTATAGTGTATTATATAACGAAGGTATAGGTGTATTTAATCGACCAGGATGAAAATATAACAATAACGAAGGTACATTAGTTATGGTGTATGAAATAACGAAGGTACCTTCTTTATGTAATAAATGATAACAAATGTACTCTCGTTATTGTTTTATTTTCATTTTTGTTGAATGAATGCTATGTTAACAATTCTACATACGTTATATATTACATTAGAATGAATGTACTCTCGCTATAGTATCGCAATATTTATAACGAAAATCATTTGATGAGATAACAATACTTGTTTCTTTTTAGTAGAATGAAGATACGTTATAGTAGTATTCCGTTAGAAATTATTTAAGTTATAAATTTAACAAGTACACTATCATTATAATGTATTATATAGCGAAAGTAAAGGTGTATTTAATCGACGGACTAAAAATATAACTATCGTTAGAATGTACGACAATTAGTTATACTAGTAAATTTACATTAGAAATAACTATAAATATACCTATAACGAGAGTAATATATTAATAGGGTATGTTTGGTTGGCCGGATTGGGCTTGATATCCTACTTATTATTATTATTTCATGACTATAAAGATGTTTGGTTCAAACAATTTAAGCCCGTTAAAATAGAAAGGCCCGGTCAATTAGTAACAACTTTCACTATTGTGTATCCCACCTATGAGGTGGGATGTGTTATGCTACTCAATTTTTAATTTAAGTTTACAAAAATAGCCTCATTTATTCTTCATCTCTTTCGTGAATTTGTGTTGGCACCAAGAATAAGAACCCTAATCCTTTTTCCTTCATCTTTCTCCATCTTCGTAAAGCAACATCACTGACTCTTCATCTTCTTCGTAAGCAACAACATCTTCGGGTCTGGTGGAAATCAAGCTTTTGTCTCCAATTAAGCTTTCTACATGTTGGTGCAAGCGTAATTTCAGATCGGCCAATTTAATCAGCTCGTTGATCTCGAAGGTTGTGGCGGACAGATGTCGGGGGAATCCACCGGCGACCGTGATCAACGATCTTCTCATCGCGGCTTTATCCCTCTCGTGCGAGTTCTGGTGGCCGCCAAGGGCCTGCGAGGTGCAGAACAACCGATGGTTGACGGAGGGCGATGAGTTGCTCGACGGGTCGGGTTTTAGACGCTGAGCTTTTAGCTTGAAGAAATCATAAATCCACCATTTTCATTTTTCTGAGCTCCAATTTTCTCAATTTGTTGGACTAATTTGGGGCTGAGTTGTTAGGAATTGAGCTTGAAAATGGGGTTGGAGATGAACTCGTTTTTTTTCCTAATAGAGAGGGATGAAATGGATGAAGTGAAAATTTAATTTTAAATTAAGGGTAGAAAAGTAATTTCAAACTAAAGGATATAATTTTTAATTCTAAACCAAACAAGTTAATAGATTAATTAAATAGATAGATAACCTTTGAAAAAATCCAAAAGATTATATCAAGCTCAATCCATTTTTCCAACCAAATTGACCCATAATGTATTATATAACGAAGGTAGAATCGTTGTAGTTGTATAACTTGTATTCGACCAAAAAATAATCATAACGAATGTTGTTGATGCTAAAAAATGTCAACAATGTTGTTCGAACTGCGTACTCAAATATACACTCGGTTCGGTCTGCACGAATAGAGTTGTATAGTGTATTCGGAGCGGATACTCGATCTATCCGTGACTTTTCTTTACATTAATTATGAGAGAAGAATATTGTAACACCCCACTTTGATTTTACAGAAATTTCGAATTTTCCAAAAACCAGTATAAAATTTTCAAAATCATTTTCGAAAACTTAGTGGGTGTTAACTAACATTTTCA